TGGCAGAGAGGGAAGGGGAGGGAGGGAGGAGGCAACTTAGCCTTGGGCGGGTCAAGTACCGGGGAGTCTGCACATAGGGATCACTGCCCCTCCGCTTTGGGAGATTCAAGGACACTCTCTCCTTCAGGGAGGTTCCAATAAAAAGTCAGCCATGAGCCACGAAAAGGCATGTGGGGCCACAAAAGCACGTGGCTAAGGGACAGAAGCCAGTCTGAGGAGGCGCCCCAGGGGTGTGATTCCAGCTCCAGGATGTTCTGGAAAAGGCCGACCTAAGCGCACAAGGAAAGGGTCGGGGGTGCGGGGCTGGGGAAGAAGGGGTGTATAGGCGGCGCACAGAGGGTTTGAGGGCAGCGAAAACGCTCTCTATAACACTGGGGACTGTCCTAATCCCCAGAGCACACGACGTCAAGCAAATGAACCCAAAGCCAACCAAGGACTGAGGGTGAAAACGATGTGTCAAGGTAGGGTCACCCTCATAACGAACGTGCGGCTCTGGGGGCGACACTGGGAGTGGGGGAGGCTGTGTGTGGGGGGGATCTGGGGGTACAGAGAAACCTCTGCGCCTTCCCCTCAATTATGCCATAGGCCTAAAACTGCTCTAAAAAGTAGTCTAAGAAAATCACAGCTAAAACCGATCCACTGATCAATATACTCCAGGCGTTTGGCTAAACCCTGCAAGGAGCTCACCCTGTGTTAAGAAATGTCTGAATTCACACACAGGAAGCAGAAACCAACGGCGCCTGGGACAGCATGAGCTGGACGCGCATTTGTGGAAAGAATAACCACCACGGAAGGCCTTAGGGATGTGCCCCCTGCGGAATTTCAAACTTTCCAGCAGCCACTTTGCCCATAAGAAACTGAAAAGAGCAGCTTAAGTCAACGTTCTGATACACTGTACTTAACGCACGGGCGACAAAGTATCATCTTAATTCCAGGGGAATAGAGGAACACTTAAGGAGATAATTTGCCTTTTTTGAACACATGCGGCTCCGAGGAGTGGGGTGAACTATGGTCCTAATTTAGAGACCAGCCCCGTTTCACCGGCTCAGTAGGCACGCGTGGTCAGTGGCTGCTGCCCCAGACAGCTTGGCTCCAGAGGGTTTAAAAGGGGAGAAAACCCACCTGTCGGAAGAAAGGGGCAATGCGACAGGTGTCGTCTGAGGTGGGTGCAGGATTCCTACCCCAGAGCGGGGAGACTGCACCGCGATCAGAGTCGGTTCCAGGGTGAAGAAACAAAGGCCGCCTTTCCGGGGCGGAGAGAAGCGGGGCCCCGGGGTGCGGGGCAAGGCTGCCTTCCACTCGCTGTGTTCCCATCCCTCGCTTTCACCCCTCGCTCGAAGGCTCCACAGTGAGTTCTGGTCACTGACCCCAACAAGCTACCGCAAACACAGCGGAAGAAGAGCCACCCAGTCCTTAAAACGTCCAGGGGGTGGGGGGCTCAGGCCCCAGCGGCGTTGGCCAGGGGCCGGACGGTGGCAGCCCCAGCCGGCGGAGCCTGTGTAATGGGCTGAGAGGAGCCCCTTTGTGTCGGGTGGAGAGGGGAATGAGGAAGCTGCTGCTGCCCGCGGGCCACGTGTAACAGAAGCGAGTCCCAAACGCGGCGGCGGCGGCGCAGGCAGCCCCGGGCTGAGAAACGCGCCCCAGTGCCTGCGCATCGCACTCCAACTCGCCCGCCCGTGTGCCAACGAAACCGCGACGAAAGTAAAAAACAAACAAACAAACAAACAAGTAATAACAGAGCGAAAGAATCTTACCCCTAAATTCACAGTGGCTCTCGGGCTGGTAGGTCGCTCGGGGTTTATTTTCTGCTCTGTGACTTTCTGTAATTTCCAAACACCCCGCCTTCCCCTTTCAGTGACATTTTACAAAACTCACGGTCGTTTAAATGCCAGCCCTCCAGGCAGTGCACGGGCGGGGCTGCGAAGTCCCCAGGGTGGGCAGTGCCGACCCCAGAGCACCTGGCGCCCAGCCGGCGCCCAGCGCTCAGTGACCGCGGGCCCGGAAGCAGGACGCGCGCTTTCGAAAAGCCCGTCCCCGTGGTCGGGGCGCCCTGAACTCCCGCGGCCTTGATCCCAACCAGGAGGCGGGGGCCTGACCACAGCGAGCGACGCGGCCCGAGGCTGACCCCGAAGTGACATTTTCAGCCACGAATTCCACCGACAGCGCACGGCAGCTCCCTTCCCGCGCTCGCCCATCCGAGGACCCACCTGCTGCCACACGCCAAGCGAAAAAAAGTCCGGCCTCCGCCCTCCGGCCTCCGCCCTCCGGCCTCCGCCCCCCGGATCGCTGGCCCCGGTTCCCGGGCCGTACGGAGCTCCCGCCTCGCCTTCCGCCGCGGAGGAAGCTGCTCACTGCCCTGGCCCGCCCGCCCGGCCGGGTCTACTTCCGCCTCAGACCGCGGCCTCAACGGGGGAGGGACTCTAGACGGGGGAGGGGCGTAGTCCGCCGCGCACTCGGTTGCCTGGCAATCGAGGACGGGCCGTAACGTTATTGGCTGCTGCTCCGGGTGAGGGGCGGGGCCTCGAGCAGGGGACGTCCCGGAAGGAGGAGCGAGCGCCGGCCGTGGGCGCATGCGTGGGGCGCGGCCTGGGGGCGGGGCAGGGTGGGTGCAGACTTGGGCGGGGCGGCTCGTGGGCGGGCCTTGGAGGCGGAGTCGGCGTCCGTTGTCAGTTGCGGGCCTGCGCTGGTTCCGTGCGGAGGCGCGGCCCGGGACCCGGGACGCCGTTGGTTGGTGTGCGGCGGGAGGGCGTGGCGCAAGAGGCGCCGTTGGTTGGCCGGCGGCGAGCGGGGGCGGGCCATGGCCCTGCTACTGTACCTGGGCCTGACGGCGGCGCTGGCCCGGGGCTGCCTGCACTGCCACCGCAACTTCTCGGACAAGTTCTCTTTCTACCGCCATCACGTGAACCTGAAGTCCTGGTGGGTGGGCGACATCCCCGTGTCGGGCTCGCTGCTCGCCGACTGGAGCGAGGACACAATGAAGGAGCTACACCTGGCCATCCCCGCGGAGATCAGTGAGTGCGGGGGCCCGGCGCGGGTGCGCCCCCGGCCCAGCCAGATTCTGGCCCGGGCCGCTCAGTCGCCGCCTCCTCCCGCCCTCAGCCCGGGAGAAGCTGGACCAAGTGGCGAACGCCGTGTACGAGAAGATGGATCAGCTGTACCAGGGGAAGATGTATTTCCCCGGTAAGGGGTGGTCCACCCGCCCGGGGGCACCCCCATGTGCCCTGCGCCTGAGCCTGACCTCCTGTCTCCTGCCCCCTCCCCCCATCAGGGTATTTCCCCAACGAGCTCCGGGCTATTTTCCGGGAGCAGGTGCATCTCATCCAGAATGCCATCATTGAAAGTGAGCCTATGAGGGCCAGGGAGGGAGGGTGCTGCCCTGGGCCTTGGGGAGCCAGGGCCACGGGAGCGTTTGAGTCCCCGTAGAGACTGGAGCTGGAGTGACGTGGATAAGGCGTCAGTGCAGCGGGGCCCTGGAACTCAGAGCCTGCAGCCAGCACTGGACGGGAGCAAAAGCGGGTTGCAACCTTTTCAAATTGGGCACCAGCAGGACCCATTAAAAGATAAATCTCATTCCTCCCTCCCCGTCCCCCCACCCCCAACTGGTCTCTGGAAGCTGTGGTTGCTCCATCCCAGGCGAGGGGCCACCTTAAATGCCACTGGCCAGAGTCCATGCCTTGGACAGGCCTGAGAGGGTGGGCGGAGTGGGGACGAGCTGGGCCCGCTAAGACGACGCCCTTGTGCTCCTGTCCCCACACAGGCCGCATCGACTGTCAGCGTCACTGTGGTGAGTGAACCTCCATCCAGGCTGTGGAGTGCAGTGGCGGCAGCGGGCCCTGGGGGCCAAGGGGCGCCCGCAGCCACCTGTCATGTGTTGCAGGCATCTTCCAGTACGAGACCATCTCGTGTAGCAACTGCACCGACTCGCATGTCATCTGCTTTGGCTACAATTGCGAGTAGGCTCAGGCAGCGGTCCATGGGGTCCCAGGATCTCCCTCAAGGCCCCCCCGCCTCCTCCCTGGCTCTTCATCACCTGGGTAGGGTGGGGTGGACCTGGCTGGCCCTCTGAACTTGTGGCCATACCACCCCCGCCCGTGTCCCCGCAGGTCATCTGCGCAGTGGGAGACAGCTGTGCAGGGCCTCCTGCACTACATGTGAGTCTGGCAGCTGGGCTCTGGGAGGGGACTCCAACAGAGGCCACTTGGCCTCTGACTCCAGATCCTCTGTCGTTGTAGAAATAACTGGCACAAGTAAGTCACCCCTCCCCAAACCCAACGCGGGTTTCATGAGAGATAGATGGGTAAGTATATGGGGGTGGCCACTAGGAGGTGGGGCCTGGCCCCCTGTGCTTGTCCTCAGAGGTCTCAGCTCATCTGGTACAAGAGGTTAAATGGTCCCCAGAAAGTCTGGGTTTCCCCCTACCCTGAGTGGGTAGCAAGGCTGTGGTCAGAACCTAGGGCTCCCCACAATGAATGCGCCTCAGTGGAGGGGCCTGGGGGCCACAGGCACAGCCTCAGCCCCAAACTCGGGAATAACCAGGACCCCACTGTGTCTTTCAGACAGGACAACGGCATGAGGTAAGGACCCCACGGCCCATTTTCTCCAAAGCCCCAGCCCGGTGGGAGGGGGAGAATGGGGTGGTGTGTGGCAGCAGATGGGCAGTGGTGTTGGACAGGGCGGGCACAGCCGGGTGGGGTTCTCTGTACCTGGGCCATGCAGACATCACCTGTGCGTGCATATCTGCGTGATCGCCTCACGAATAAACGTGTCTTCCTCTCCACCTTCCTCCTCGCCGCCTGGACGCACAGGACGACTCCAGCCTTGTGAGTCACCCAGCTGGAGGAGGCTGCAGGGACCTGGGGGTGGGGGGGTGCTCCAGGGACTGGGGTTGTACCTAAGCCAGAGATGAAAACCCAGAGGCCAATTCACCGCAGCCCCGCCCACACACCTTTGCAGCCCATCCTGGGAGCATTGGGTGGGGATGAGAAAACAGGCCGGGCCTCTGAGTTCAGCTTTGAGGGTCTGCCTGCAACCCTGGTCATGTGCCCCAGTTGGGAGGAGGCCCAGGCCCCTAGCAGAGACCCAGCAGTTAGGAGGAAGGTGGGAGGGGAGAGGAAGGACTGAGGCACCTGTCCCCCGCAGCCTGATATCACCGAGCTTCACGTGCCTAGAGCCCCCACATCTGGCCAACCTGACTCTGGAGAACGCTTCTGAGTGCCTGATGCAGCACTGACGGCCGCCGGGCCTACCGGACTCGCCCCAGCCTCGGCCTGGGGCCAGGACTCAGCTGGGCTGTCCTAGCTTGACCCTGGGAGCAGCTTGCTGCCCCCTGGGGGCCCCCCACCCCCATCAGCCTGGGCATGGCCGGGGCCGGGTGGAGGAGAAGGGAGACGAGTTTGTATATAGCAGATGCCAGGCGGGATCACAGAGCTACTGGATGATTAAATGTCTCTGACACTTCTCACCACGGAGCAGTCCCTTGGGGGGCTGGGAGAACCATGTGGGATAACGGGCTGGGGCCCAGGCAAGGCACATCTGGTCACAGGCGCCAGGAGGAACGGCGGGTCCCACGTTCCCAGGCCAATTGGGTCGCAGTCTGCCTCAGTGTACCTGGATGGGCTCGCCTATGAGTAAGCTGGGGAGCGAGTGGACTCTTTCGCTGACTCGGCCGGAGTGCAGGCTGCTTCGGTGGCGTGGGGCTGGCCCTCGGCGCAAGGAGCCCCAGGGGGCTTGGTCCGGGCTGGACGGCTGTCTCCATGGAAGCAAGTGCTGCCCGGAGGTGCCTTCTGTGCCTGAGAGTGTGTGTGTGTTGGCCTGTGCGCCACTGGCTTCCTCCTCCAGCTCCGTTGCGGGGCATCACAGGACAGAAGACCCCGCCGGGCTTCCTACTGCGGTTCCCCTGATGTAATGCCAGCTACTGCTTACGTGGGCACATTTGTGTTTAAGGCAGGAAACTCTGGCAGGGGTTAGACAATATGGTGTGCACCAAGACTCAGGTGACACTACAGGCAGACTATCAAAAGAGCAGAGCTGGGTCTTCAACAAGCCCCATTCCGAGGCACGCATGCTGGAAGCAGGGCTGGCCATCTCCAGGATCCTACACCAAGACTCAGGTGACACTACAGGCAGACTGTCAAAAGAGCAGAGCTGGGTGTCTTCAATAAGCCCCATTCCGAGGCACACATGCTGGAAGCAGGGCTGGCCATCTCCAGGATCCTAGTTGCCGTCATCACTGCGTCTGCCGCCTGGGCCTTTGCCTTTTCTAGCCCGTGTGGCTGGCAAAGGGTTGGTGCTGTTGCACGATGCACTTTTCCCCGGAGAATCATGAGAAAGAGCCTTTTGGCAGACGCTGTGCAAGGTGGCCTTTCTCTTGTCCAGGGCACCCTGAGCTGTGGTCCACCGCGGGGCCGGTCTGTGCTCGCTCCTCACCCTCCCACACTCTCGAGACTCAAGTCCACTGACTCAGCTTGACATGGCTTGAATTCTCTCTGGCGAAACGGCCTCAGGAAGGGCAGAGGAATGGGAATTAACGCGATATCAGCAGCCTTCTTTCCAGCATCCGCTCCCACTGTTCCCCTCACCAGCAGGGGCCGGGGGTGGGGCAGGGGGGAGGGAGGACGATGGCCACCATGTGTCATCAGAGGGCCCCATGGGGCCCACTACCCTGAGCCCAGGAGACGGCGGTGAGGGTAATCTGAGGCATGAGGGGTGCACAGGCCCCCAGAGCCCCCACGCGACCCCAAGCAGCTGTGCGATGACCCCAGCCGGGTGTGCACTGCTATGGGCAGAACCCAAGAGATAAACGTCTGTTTTGCAAGTTTATTGGATCATCTCGACACAAAATCATTACAGCAGCGTGATATGTCTCTCACTCCTTTACGTGGGAATGTCGATAGCAAATAAATTCATATGTAACACGTCATACGATTTCGAGATTCTAGAATCACTGCACAGGATTCTGCAATAGATTATTCTACATGCTAAAGTGACAGTTTTCATCGAAAGGAAAGTTAAAATGTCACTGAGGACGGTCACCTCTGAGGAGAGCCCCGTCTCACCAGGGGCTGGGTCCCCACCCTGCCTAGGAGGAGCATTGCAGGGACCTAGCCTCCCCACGACACATGTGCTTCGCTGTTGAGGCCATGGAGCCCAGGACTGGGCCCTCCTGGCAGCTGCAGGCACGACATGGGGACAAACCCTGTGGCACATTCAGGGACAAGGGAAGGGGATCCGGAATTGTAGTGCTCCACCACTGACCCCCAACAGCGCCCACTGGGACGTTCTGCTGAACAGGAAACAATAGGACCAACGAGGTCTAGTCCTGCTCCATGAGGGGACCCGACCCTTGGTGATAGCCCCCCACCTCCGCCTCAGTGCCTGCTGCCATTCTCCACCCAGCACACACATGGCAGTGCGACACAGAACATGGTGGTGAGACACAGAGGACACAGTGGATGGTGGCCCGCATGACCCCCTTCCCATCACGCATCCTGGGGAGAGAGAACCTGACCCGTGGCCATGAGGGGTGAAGGGGAGTGTCACTGTGGTAAGCAGCTTGCTGTTCTTCACCCTCCAAGTGCCACTGAGCAGGGGACTTGGGGACTTGTGGGACTGGATGACTTCACAGAAGCAGGACGCCCCCCGCCCAGGAGCCTCCAGGTCCTGGCCTGGATGGCAGCCACGCTCACTCCTTAGGCGGCCCCTGCGGCTGAGTGCGCTCGGCCCCTGCTACAGGGGCCACTGCTGGTCTGCGGACGGGAACAGGGTTTCTCCCCGAAGATCAGGGGGAGGGTCAAAAGAATAGAGATGACAGGAGAAATCAACGAACACACGACCTCGATGTTTGACTGGCGACATGGTGGCCTCAGATGAACGCCGGGCTGGATGAACACATGCGACAGAGGAGAAACCTAGCGCTGGAACCCGTCCCTCCTTCGCAGCCTGTCCGTGAGCGGTGGCCTCAGACGACACGCATTCAGCACTTGGCCAGCGTCGCCCTCACCTCCTCCAGCAGGCCGCTGAGCAGGGCGGAGTCGCTGCACTTCCCGTCCACCGACACGGACTTCTCGCCCTGACGAGGAAAACACCTGGCATGTGGACACGGCACAGACATACCGCCTTGTGGCCACACGCCCTGTCCCGGGGGGCGGTGTGGACAAGCAGAGGACTGACTGGTCCCAGGCAGATGGCACAAGCACGCACGCCCGCTTCCCACGAGGGTCTGAGGCCTGGGTGTACTGGGCCTCATGACCGGAACCGGAAGGAACCGGAGGTGGCCTGGAGAGCTGTTCAGGAACGGGGGGCTCGTCTGCAGACGAGCTGCGTGGGCCTCGGCCGAACACTGAGCATGCCGGGCACGGGGGCAACAGAGACTGTGAGAACTGACGGATGCTGGGCCACAAGTCCTGCGGCCCGAGCCCATCAACATCCTCCACAGGACAGACGAGGCCCGGAGTCATCACATGCAAAACGCCGGGGATACAGTTCGAAGTGACTGAGATACAAAGAAAGAACGACAACTAAGTGCGCGCGCGGAGACGAGGCAGATGGCAGCTTGATCTGCCAGGTGTTAAAGCGGCTGCTTCCAGAGCCTCCAACTGACAATCGCAATACTCTGGAAACAAAGACAACAGCGTCTCAGCCACCAAACGGAAAGCGTGAGGAACCACCAGGTGCAAACTTTAGACCTGAAAACATCGTAACCGAAATCCAACGCTCACTGCATGGGCTCAACAGCAGAATGGACACGACAGAGAAGAGTCGGTGAACTTGACAGCAGGCTAACAGGAACAACCCAGTCTGAGCAGGTGCGAGGGACCGGGTGGGTGAGTGGAGCCTCAGAGACTTGAAGAACAGCAGGTGTGGGCTCTGTTCGCGGAGTCCCCAAGGAGGACAGAATGCAGCTCTGCGATAGCGAATGACAGGTGGAACGCCCCAAATTTTTCAAAAGACCTACACGCACAGATTCACGAAATTCAGCGGACTCCGAACAGAAAAACCCGAAGAAGTCAGTGCCCAGACAGCACAAACTGCTGAAAACTGGGGCAAGGGAAAGCCTGAAAGCAGCCAGAGAAAAAGTCACGCCCCGTATAAAAGAGGGGCGCGGCCTTCTCGTCAGACCACGGGCGCCCAACGGGCATGGCGGATTTTTAACAGAGACGGTCTCTCACGCACAACCCTTCACCTCTGAGATGGTGCGAAGGCGAGACGCGCTCAGCACGAAGGGGACTCGGAATCAAGTCTGGACCCCTCCCACAGGTGACAAGCGGTGCGAGCTTCCTGAGCTGCTGGGCTCCGGCGCAGCCATGACCGCGAGGGTCCAACCCAGGCGCCAGCGCCCGCGCTGCAGCGTCTCCCAATCTCGTGCTCCGTGGCCCTTGCCGGGGCCAGGTGAGCAGCACTAAGTAACTCCCGACCTGTTTCCACCCACGACGGGGTTCTCAGGACGGAGTCCCCCTGTAAGTCGAGGGGCACAGCACCGAGAGGGAAGAGTCAGAGCCACGATTCCCTCTGCAGTGAGAGCAGCCCTGAGGAATGGCAGGCTGCGGATGACCCGCAGAGCTCATGGCCGGCAGGCCTGCTGCTGAAGCGAGTTCTTCAGAGAGAAAAAGCACACGGACCATGAGGAATGAAAGACATCAGACATGGTGGACGTGGATTAGCAGAACACGCCGCTCTGAAACCTGTCTGAGGGCTGAAAACAAAGTGGGACATGCTATGATGGTGTCTCTGACGTCTGCAGATGCAACACACGAGACACCTGTTCACACAGAGGGGGGGTCAGGGAACTGACAGGCCACCGGTGAGGTGTCCATGTCCCAAGTCGGCACTGACAGGATGTGTACGCTGTGATCCCTAGGAGTCTGCTAGACAGACAGACAGACTGCAGAACGCAACAGAGACATAAAAACGGGGGCTCGGCACCAGTCACAGACTGAAAGGAGGCAGGAGAAGCAGAATGAGAACGAGAAGGGGCAAGCGGGAAGTAAAGGAGGGGCCTGCAACCCAAACACGTAAGCAGTACTTTAAACGTAAACGGCCTAAACACAGCGCTCAGAAGGCAGGCTGGTGGAACGGGGCACAAACGTGACCTCCTCTGCGTGCACCTACAAGGAATTCGTTCAAATATCACGCCGGAGAGAGCTTCGAGGTAAAAGACATATCACGTAGGCACCGGTTGAAAGAAAGAGGGAGTGGCTATCCTGGTGTCAGACAGAATGGACCTCGGAGCAAAGAAAATACCCCGGGATGGAGACGGACATCACGTACCAAGCAAAGGGTCCATTTGCCGCAAAGACCCCGTGATACCAGTGGCCCAGACATCTGACAATTAAGAGAATCCGAAGCCACGCGTCGGAGAGGAAGTTGTGACGGAAATTAGGAAGTGTTTTGAAGTGTATAGAAATGAAAATGAAACGTGGGTGCAGCTGAAGCAGTGCTTAAAGGAAAGTCACAGCAGTAAACGCTTTGTAATCAGTGCCCGTGGAAAGGCCCGAGCGTCCCCTACAGAGACTCACGGGAGCAGACTGAACCGAAGCTGGCAGAAGGAAGGAGAGGAGGCGCAGAACTCAAGGGAATTTATTTGTAAAACAATAACCTCTTTTTAAAATTGGTTTTTAAAATGACCAGAAGAGATCGACCTGTAGGCTAACCGAAAAAACGAAGACGACGCAAAGCGCTGACTTGAGGGCTGGAGGGAGGCGTCTCTGCTGCCCGCTCGGACGCCACGGGACAACGCGAGGGCCACAGACGACTCTGCCCATGTCAGTTCAGTAACTTAAGTGAAACAGACCGCAAACCACCTACACTCAGCTGAGGGGAAATAGAGAAGTCAAGGATCCTACAACTAAACTCTCAAAAAAGCAAGCTGCAGACCTGGAGGGTTTCCCTGTGAATTCCGCAAAGCACGTAAGAAACACGAATCGCACGCACACAGCCTCTCCCAGACGGTGCAGGAGCGGGATGAGCGCCCACCTCGGGCCACAAGTGCCCCGACAGTTAAGAGCAGGCCGCTCGTGCGCACGACCACGAGCTCCCCGGGCCTCAGTGGAGCAGCCAGACTGTACTCAGCCCCTCTGCACGAAGAGCCGCGGGGAGGAGGGAGGGGATGGCGGAGGCAGAGAAGAGGCTGCCTCGGACTGACCTTCTTCACCAGCAGGCAGACGTGGTGGCCCTGGATGGAGCGGCTGTACAGGGAGGCGCAGGAGTCCACACGCTCCACAACTGCAACAGACCGGGCGGGCGTGAGGGCGTGCAGCCCCCGTGTGCGCGGAGGCCGTGCCCCCCACCGGCCCTGTCGGGTCCCTTACCAGAAAAATGGTGGTGAAAACAGATTTTTGCCAGGAGGTTCTGGAAGGACATGCTAATGCCATCGACTCTGACTGAGCTCATGCTCAGGTCCCCAGACTCCAGCAACTTGGCAAAGGCGTCACTGTGAAGAGGACACAGGACAGGGATGCTGACAACAGACAGGCTCCCCAGCACTGAAGCAAAGACCCAGCCCAGGGGTGGGACCCTCCTGGCTGCCTGCAACTTGGGAGATCTCTTATAAGACGTCGTGGGCTGAACGGTATCCCCCTAATTTCCTATGTTGAAGCCCTGACCCCCGGGGCCCCCGAATGTGACCGTACTGGGTGTAGCGTCTCTAAAGGGCCAGTTAAAGTAAAATGAGGTCACTGGGGTGGGACCTGATCCAACACAACTGGGGTCCTCCGAAGAGAAAACAAGGACACACACGCACAGAAGGGGACGACCACATGAGAACATGGGAAGGACGGGGTGCCCACACGCCGAGGAGGGAGGCCTCAGAGGAACCAGCCCGCCGCACCGTGACCTCTGACCCCAGCCTCCGCAGGGAGGTGACGCGTCTGCTGCTGGAGCTGCCAACACGTCAGAGACGGACTTCCTATGCTGACTACGAGCTGGACACCTGACGCTTGTGCCGTGCACGCCTCAGGTCTGACGACTTTCTGAGGTGACCGCACAGCCTTGCGTGGCATGAAAGCGGGTAGGCCCGCGCTGCCCCCCAGGACCTGGGGTGGAGGGGAGTGGTGTAGGTGGAACGGGCTCGCGCACCTGTAGCACGGGGTCGTGATCAAGTATGACGTGCAACTGAAGTGCAACTTGAAGTCCAGCTTCTCGTGCGTGGAGCCTTCGTCGTTCTGCGGGGAACAGGGGAGCAGGGTGAGCGGGGAGGGGATGGGAGCGGGGCCGGCCCCAGCCGAGCTCAGGTGCAGCCAGGGGATCCAGGAGTGGCTCCCATCTAGGGCCCCACTTGCCCTCAGGACACTGGTCCCTGGGGTCTGGGTGTGCTCGGAGTGGCATGGGGGTCCTGCAGGCCCCACGCACCTTGGCAATGAAAGACAAGGTCCCCTTGAGCTTCTGGGCCATGACGATGCTCTGAATGGTGAACACGAACTGGGCTTCGTTGGAGATGCCTGGCGAGGGCGAGACAGCAAGCAGGGCCTGAGAAGCAGCGTGGGACAGGCCTGGGAGGGGCCCGGCCAGCCCCTGGCAGAGTGAGTGGGCACCCTGGGACCGAAGGAAGGCCGTGGGACGAGGAGCCAGACCCCCTGGGGACGCTGGTGGCAGGCTCACCTGGGGGCAGCTGGAAAGGCACGGGGACGCCGTCGTGGACGGAGGAGCCCTCGGGCCGGGCCAACTTGGTGTTGAGCGAGTCCAGCACATTGAGCTCCATGCTCTTCAGGAAGCTGTTGCTCTGATTCTCCAGGACTATGGACACAGTGACCTGGCTGTCTTTCTGCAGGCTGCCCTGGATGTCATATGTCTGTGGAGCAAGCCAGATCAGTAGGTGTGGCGGGAGACCACGGGCCCCCTTCCGGGCCTGCACGGGGCGCAAGGGGCGTGAGCAGCACCTGCTGTGAAGACAGGCCCTCACCCGGGACTGAGCGAATACGTCCCAAGTTCCCGTCCTTTCTTCGAGAACGCATTTCACCAACCCGTCAGCCCAGGCCCCGCCCCCGGTGAGCAGGCCTCGAGGCCACACGTGCTGTCGTACATGTGGTGTTGGTCCTTTTCCCAGAGGCCTCTGACGAGGAGGCGCAGTCCAGAGCCACTGATGCAGCCACTGCCCCCACGTGCAAAAAGCCCCCGAGCTGTGTGCCCGAGCCATGTGCCCGTGCCTTTGAGACACCCACGTCACTCACCATTTTAACGTAGGCGTTCTCGGCAAGGAGGCAGTAGCTGGACATGGGCTGGGAACAAAGGAAGCTGGTTCAGCTTTGGGTCACCAGGGCCACAGGGCGCACCCGTCCAGGGAACAGGGCCTTGTCACAGGCTGCCTGGTGCCCTGGGTCAAAATACTAGGACTGCGAGACTCGGGGGGCAAGAAGTTTATGCCCAACACCTGCGCGGCCAGGGACGACAGCCACAGCTAGGCCACCAGGAGGCGGGAAGGGCCCTCACCGGGAGAGGCTCTTCCTCCAGCGTGCCGTTCTCCACGGGCTCCGCCGCCCCGTCGCCCGCAGGTGGCTTCTTCTTGGATTTTTTC